AAAAAATTAATTTATTTCATATGCATTTCAGTATATAATGAATGCTTTCATTACAGCAAGTTGGTACATGTACATACTGTGTCTTAACTCTTTTTCCATTCCGTTCCCCTCCCCTCTATCCCTCCTTCCTGTCCTCCATCTCTTCATCCCCTTGTCATTGTTATCAGTTCTTTAAATTAAAATGTAACGCACTGATTTATAGAAATTCTTTATATCTACTTAACACAATTCTTACTGTTTATATGTGTTGCAAGTATCTTGTCCCACCCAAGTGATTTCTTATGAGGAACACTGATTATTTAGACAGTGTTAAAATTGATCTTTCCCTGCCCAAGCTTTTGAAAATATTGTAAACTTCTCTAGTAGTTTTGTTTTTCCCTCTTTTTATTAGATGTACAAACTACCTGAAATTGATTTTTATGAAAATTTTGAGATAAGGGTTGTTTCACTTGATTCCGTGTAGACAGACATTCTTCATTTAATGACCAAGTTCCATTTCTGTGACTAGGTCGTTAAGTGAATTGGTCGCTAAGTGAGGAATTATGCACAGTACACACATTAGAACATTCAGGATGAAGAAATGGCCAAAGAAGACTCCAACTTGGTGAATTTGCTTTTATTTGTATAAGTTCTATGTGCAGTACTGCAGCTTATAATAACATAAAACTGTACAGTGCAATCAGCAAAATTACAGCACTGTATACACAAAGTGTACTGTATTAAAAAAAGACATTAAGGCTCTATAAGCAAGATGTACAGAACTGTACCAAAAAAAAGATGGGTTGTAAGTCCAAACACTGTGCCTCGGTCATAAATTAGAACAGTTGTTAAACAGGTAGATCATTAAAAGAGGAATATCTGTATTCAATTGTTCCAGGCACTACTTATTGAAAAGTCTGCCTTTCTTGGCTACCCCGCAGCGCTGCGACCTTTACCATGGAGTCAAGCACCCGCATGTATATGGATCTGTTCTAAAGTCTACTGTATTCTATTAGTTTATTTATTTATCCTGTTGCCAGTATAGGTTTATCCCTATAAAATTATTTAGATTTTCTTTAATTTCCCATAGTATTTTATAATTTTGTGTGCAAAGATCTTGCATATGCTTCCAAGATTTATTTTCAGGAAGCTGGTTATTTTGATGTTACTATAAGGGGTAACCTTTCAGTGCTGTGCTACTTGCTAATAGAAATGTAGCTGGTTTTTGTACATTGACCTAGCATCTACTAATGATGCTAAACGTACCTATCCTAATAATTTTTTAGATTCTTTTAGGATTTCTATATATGCAATGATGTCTTTCACCCATAAATTATTAAAATTTTATTTCTTTCCAATCCTTGTACTTTTTATTCTATTATTTTTTATTTTTAAGGTAAAATAATGAAAACAGATTAATAAACAAACAGTCATAAACAAAATAATACCCAAACAATAGAAGCAATACAGAATTTCAGACAAGGTGATAGGAAATTAACAATGGTTGCTGTATTACATATTGTTATCTTCAAATTGGTTACTCAGTTAAATAAATATTGGCATGTAAGATAGATCAAAGAATTAAACATTAACTGTTCCTTTCAATAAAGCAATAGAAATCAGTAGTACAACTATCCTGTGTATACATACTTTTTCCTTCTTTCTTGCTTTTCTCTTTTCCCTCATCCCAGTTGTTCTTTTCTTTTTTATTTATTTATTTACTTATCTACTTATTTATTTATTTTTGGTACTGGGAATCGAGCTCAGGACTTTGCACTGGCCAGGCAGGTACTTGTCCCACTGAGCTATATCCCCAGCCCTGTTCTTTCCTTTTGAACCATTTCTTTCCCTTTCACAATATCTATTGTACCTTTCAGATTTTATTTACTCTTTCAGGTACTTACACTAGTGAAACAATATGGTATTTACACATGGGGGTTTGATTATGAGTATGGTCTCTAGTTGCATCATTTACTTATGAAAGCCTCAAGTTTATCTTCCTTTATAGCTGAGTAATATTCCATTATGTAAAAATACCATATCTTTTTTATCCATTGCTCTGCTAATGTGCATTTGAGTTGCTTCCATGATTTAGCTATTACAAATTGTGCAGCTATAACCATGGGTGTACATATATCATTGTGCTACGAATTTTCAGTTCTTCTAAAATGATACCCTTTTGGGAAATAGCTGGGTTGAATGGGACCTCTAATCCTAGTTTACTGAGGAATCTTCAGAGTGATCTCATCAGTGGTTGCAGCAGTCTACCCTCCCACCAACAGTGGAGAAAGGTTCCTTTTTCCCCACAGCCTCACCAGCATTTGTTATTGATGGATTTCGTGAGGATAGCCATTCTTCCTGGGGTGAGATGGTGTCTCATCGTTGTTTTAATTTGCATGTCTCTAATGACTAATGATGTTGAACATTTTTTCATGTATTTATTTGCCATTTGTATTTCTTACTCTGAGAAGTACGTATTCATCTCAGATGCCTTATTGTACTAGAACATGTTGAAAAATGGCAGTAATAGCAGATCTCATCTCAGAGGGAGAGTTCTGAACTGCTCACCACTAAGTATTATGCTTTGATGTAGCTAGCCTTTACTGGGTATCTAAACCTGTATTCAAGCCTGTATTCTGAGAGCTTTTATCATGAGTAGATGTTGAATGTTTTCATATGTTGCTTATAGTTCAAGAACAGTTTACTTTTCCACTTGCTAACACAGTGCAAAACACTACTTTTAAGTGATAAATTAATTGTATCCGAGAATGAAATGACCTTGATTGTTGGGTTGTATTTTGTAGGTTTTAATTTGTTAAGAGTTTGTTCAGGATTTTTCCATCTATGGTCATGAGTGGGACTGCTATATAATTTCCCTTTATTTTGTAATGTTCTTGGCTAGTTTTGGTATCAGAGTTGTTCTGTCCTCAAAAACTGGAATGAAAAGTATTTCTTCTTTTCCAGTTTCTGGAAGTGTTTGTGGATTATATTTTCCCTAAATGTTAGAATTCTCTAGCTATGCTCTCTAGGTCTACAGTTTTCTTTTAGGAAACATTTATATTACGGATTCAGTTTCTTTAATAGGTGTGTGACTGATCTGAATATTTCTCCTTAAGTAAGTTTTGGTCATTTGAATTTTTTTTAAAAGAATCTGTCCATTTAATCTAAATTTCCAAATTTAATGGCATAACGCTGTTCATAGTATACCATTATAACTTTTCAAATATCTTTAGGTATATCATGATGTTTTCTCATTCCTAATATGTTGTATTTGTGCCTCTTCTTGTTTGCACCTGCTCTTTTATTTATTTCTCCTCTTTAGTTTTGCCAGGGCTTGTCAGTGTTGTAGATCATTTTGGAGAATCCATATTTGGCCTTATCAATGCCCTCTTTTTAAATTTTGGGCTTTATCAATGCCCTCTCTTTAAATTTTTTTAGTACTGGAGGTTTGGTACTGGGGCCTTCACACTTAACTACATCTCCAGCCCTTTTAAAAATTTTAAATTTTGAGACAGGGTCTTGCTAAGTCACTAAATTGCCCAGGTTGGGTTTGAAGTTGCAGTCCTGTCTTACCCTCCCAGTTTTGGAATGATAGGTGTGTGGACTTAATCTCTAGTTTCATGTCAATTTTTCTTTTAATGGATTTTGGCTTTCATGTTTATTTTCTTCTGACTTTGGGTTTAATGTGCTGTTCTTGTTCAAATTTCTTGAACAAGAAATCTCTCTCTCTATCTCTCTCTCTGTTTCTTCCTTTTTTTTTTGTACCCAGAATCCAGCTCAGGGCCTTGGTCTCGTCAGGCAGGCACATCCTGGCCCATTCTTTTTTAAATATATGCATTTACGACAAAAAAAAGACAAAATAGAAACAAAACTTTGTAAATAAGGAGGGGAAGAGGGGTTGAAAACGGGAGGGGAACAGGTTAAAAAAAAGAGGAGCTAAGCTATATCATGTACTTTTACAGATTCCTTATGATGAATGTGATCATTATACATATCTAAATTGTATCAATAAATGTAATTATAAAAAAGATATGTATTTAAGTCTATAATTTTTCCTCTAAGCATTATTTTTAGCTGCATCCCATAAATTTTGACATATAGTATTATCCTTATTTAGCTAAAAATATTTTCTAATTTCCATTCTGATTTTGTTTTTTGACACAAATGTTATCTGAAAGGTTATTTCCCAACTTCTAAATTTGCAGTGGTTAAATATCTTTTTTGTTAATGATTTCTAGCTTAATTGCATTGTGGTCAGAGAGCATACTCTAGGAATTCAGTCCTCTGAAATGTGTCCGACTTTTTTCCAGTGGCCAACCAGATAGTCTATTTGTAAATACTCAGTGTATGTGTGAAAAGAAAGTGAATTCTGCCATTCTTATTTGAGTGTTTTATGTATGTCTATTAGGTTAATTTTTTTATTTGTATTTAAAATTTTCTGTGTTTTCATTGATTTTTTTTTTGTTTCCTTACTTAGTGACTAAGAGAAGTATGTTAATGTTTCCCAACATAAATGTGGATTTTTCAGTTTTTCCTTTTAGTTCTGTCAACTTTTGCTGTATCTATTTTGAGGCTTTATTATTCAGTACATAAAAATTTAGAACTTGTTTTTGTGGTACTGGGAATCGAACTCAGGACCTTGTGCTTGCTAGGCAGGCACTTGTGCCATTGAGCTATATCCCTGACCCAAAATTTAGAATTATTATATATTCTTGATATAAACTGTTGTCAATAAAAAGTATCTCTTTTTGGCATTTTAAATCCACTTTTTAATAACTGGTTCTGAGGCAATCAGATAACCATGTAAGAAAAAGATAATGTTGGATCCCCTTCCTTCATTTCTTTAGGATAAATTCTGAATTGTGTGTGTGTGTGTCTGTTTTTGTTTGTTTTGGCAATAGTACTGGGGATCACACTCAGGGCCTTAAACATGCTAGACAAACAAGTGCTCTACCACAGAGCCATGTTCTTGGCTCAAGTCTAGAGATTTAGAGGTAAAAATGAAACTAAACATGTATTACAAGAAAAGAAAAAATTACTTTACAACCTGAGAGGGAGGCATGTTTTCCTAATGATAACTCCAGATGCAGAACAAGCAAAAATATGGATAAACTTGGTTATGATATATTAACAGCAGCCAAAACATTTCTTTTCCTGGCAAAGTATCTTCAGCTTATAGACAAAAAGTAATAGAACTAATATATAGAGAGCTTCCAAAATTAGAGAGACCAACAACCTGAGAATCAGGTTAAATCTGTATCTCTAATTATGAATCAGTATTTCATGGAAAAGGAAATGCAAATGGCTCTTAGTCATAAGAATCTCTCTCTTTCTCTCTGAAAATCTTTGAGTCTTGATTATTTGGTACATTTACATTTCACGTAATTTCTGATATATTTGGATTTACATCTCTATCTTAACATGTTCTTCCTATTTGTCCTACTTGCTCTGTACTTTCTTCCATTTTCCTGCCTTCTATATTCAATTTCTATTCTTTAGAGGTTACCCTAAAACCTATGGAATGAATCCTTGACCTGCCAGAGTTAATATAAATGTGTACTTTAACTCATTTCAGAAAATCAAAGATCCTTAGAATATTTCTACTCTACCTAGTGCCTTCCAATCTATATATTTCTACTGTCATGTATTTTTATTCTATATATTTAAGCTCCACCAAACATCGTTATTCTTGTTTTAGAAGTTAATAATTTATTTGTACATACCAACCCATATATCTCTTCTTTGCCCTTCTTTTCTGAATTTCTAAGCTTCCTTCTAAGATCATTTTCCTTCACCATGAAGGATGCTTTTGAGGCTAACAACTGCCTATTACTACATGGGCCTCATAGGAAACTATGTTACTCAAGAACATACGAGTGAAGATGAACATTTAAATCACCTATTCCTTGCTTTCCTTAGAAAAGAAAAGATTCTTCCAAAAGATCACGATTTTCCTTTGTGTGTTACAATTTCAATTACTACCTAACCTTATTAACTGAGGGTTATCTGATTTTAACCAGAGTTGAAAACTTACTTTGAGGAACTGTAGCAGAGGCTCATCCATGCTGTGATAATCACCAGACCGGACAGCTCCCTGTAGAATAACATATATTTCAAATTTTGAAGTGACTGCAGCATCACTTATTTCAGGTCAGGGGGAGGAATAGTACAACCAAGAAAACAATCCCAGATTTGATTTGCTATTTTCACATTTTCAGAGGCTTAACTGTAGGATGAGTGCGAGCCAGTGCACAACCGGAGCACACATTGCAGGAGACTGGGGGAGACTGCAGCAGGAAATGGTTTTTAGTGTGACTCAACCATTGGAGTATGTGCTTCTAGCTATGTGTGCTGTAAGCCCATATCTTTTACACAGAATAAAGAGCAATCATATTCAGCCATGGTGACAGGGGAAGCCCCTCCTTGGCTTCACTGTACCTCCTGGCCTTCAAGTTGGAGGCAATTTAGCCCATTTGATCTGCATTCCTATCTGCAGACCCAGCTGGACTGCTTCTGAAACCTGGGTACCAGAGCAGTACCTAATCCATGATCCCTAACTTACAGGTCTCTGAAGGTTGAAGCTGGCAAGTACCAGCAGAGAGATAAAAAAAAAAAAGAGGATTTTTAATAAGATCAAGAGTCATGGGTGGGAGGAAGAGGTGATAAAATAGGAACTATGTCTGGCCATGACAGAGAGGATATGTCATGAGACACATTAAGGCAAGGCTAGCAAAAGGCTGACTTAAAATACTGGTCTCTGATGTGGCTGATCACCCTTGTAGATAAAAGAGTTCTCCTTAGTCAGAGCTGAGTCAGAGTGCTGACAGAGACTTCACCTTATTAGACTGGACTGAGTATTACTGTATGTACTCTTGCTGGTTGCCAGGAGGTTGAGGTCTGAGGTCTTGACAGTAATATAACAAAATAGGTAACGATTGCTGGTAGTACTAATGATGGAGTTGGATAGACAGGGCTGAGTTTGAATCCTGGGTCCACCATCTCCTCAGTTTATAAACCATATAATACTTTCCTTCTCTGCGTGGTACAGTTACAGGAATTAAATCATCACCGTGAACAGATAAGATGAGGTTGTAAAGGAGTGAAAGACTTCTCAGTTCTACCCCCACTCCCACCCCCAAAACGAAAGTCACTGCTCACCTGCCTTCTTCCTCGTGTAGGATGTTGTGCTGTGCGTGCAGCAGGAGGGAGTATGCCAAGCCAGCGGCCCACACCAGGCAGAACAAGATGTGTGCTGCAGAAACACTCTTCCAAATGAAGCTACCTAAAGGTAGACATCCCGACGCTAGTAATCATGGAATCTTACACCCAGAGAAAAATGATCTGTGTTCCTGTTTTGTCATAATCTGCTTTCAGGAAAGGCACTCAGAAAAAAAAAAAAGTTTTCTGAGGGACAACTTAGAGATTAGGCCACTAATTATAACATAAGTGGACACATTCCCTTTCCTATCACAATTACCCTTATTTTCTTTGGGAACCCACACTTCCCACACCCCTAGTCTGTGTGCACCAGAGAAATGGACCGTAGGGCAACCAAGCCCTTATCACCTTAGCCACAATTATTTGGCTCATGACCAACAGATGATTCATTCATTTTTTATACAGTAATTCATTTTTCATACTTTGAAAGAGTGAAGGAACAGTTTAGCTGGGCGCGGTGGCACACACCTCTAATCTCAGCACTCAAGTGGCTGAGGCAGGAAAGAGGCAGGAGGACTGCAAGTTCAAGTATCACCTGCATAATTTAGTGACTCGGTAAGACCCTGTCTCAAAGTAAAAAATAAAAAAGATTTGGGGATGTATCCATGTGAAAGTGCTGAGTTCAACCCCCAGCTGAAAAGAGAAAAAATAACAGAGGAAGGAAGGGAGGGAGGGGGCAGGGAGCCTATATTCTCTGGGACTTAACGTCCTAGAGATGGGAAGTGGGAGCTCAGGGCTACTACGTGGGTCCGAAGTGAAGTCAGGGCGGCCATGGCAGGATGGGGAGGTGGAGAGAAGCTGAGGCTCCGTGTCCATCAGCACCACCCACAGCCTTTCCAGGAAGTTACGCCAATGTATTTTCTTCTTAGCTCATAGTACATGTGAGTTTAGCTTTTCTCCTTTTCCTGCCTTATACTCAAAGGAGCCCTATCTAAATGATCCTCTGTAAAGATGTAGACAGCCAGTGAGAAGCCTAATCAAGGAACACGGCCATCTAGGGAACTGAGATTTTCCAAGGTGAGAATCAACAGTCTTTATCCTAAGGCTTCTGAGAATTTTTGGGCCCCACATGTAGAAGCTGCTTTAATTTAATTTTCTGTTATCTTTCAGGATTAATCGTTCCTATTAACAAGAAAATATTAACAATGAATGTAAAATATACTTTCTTTTCTTGTTACAACATTTTATAGTATAAAACTATTTAACTTAAAATTTGTTGAGTCTCTTAGAGCCACAAAAGGGGTAGCTACAATTTGCCTAGCATTGACTAGGCAGTCTGTAGGTAGTAAAAATCTTTTTAAAGTGAACGTTTCACCTACATATCCAACTGTAGACGTAAAAAGTCCAAGGAGGAGGTTACTGAATAAACATGGTAAAGCTTCTGCTTACAGCCACCTCTGATGTGCCTGGCTATATTACTATGCTCTGAACACTTGTGTCTCCCTCAAGTTCATATGCTGAAGTCTTGACTCCTAAAGTGCCAGTATTGGGAGGTAAGGCCTTTGGGAGGCCATCAGTTCATGAGGAGGAGCTCTCCTGAGGGAATTAGTGCCCTTATAAAATAGGCCTGAAAAATGTCCCTAGTCCCTTCCACTATGAGAGGACAAAGAGAGAGGGAGATACCTGTGACTGGAAGCAGGCTCTCACTAGACACCAAATTATGTGCTAATGCCTTGATCTTGGATTTCCCAGCCTCTAGAAATAAGGAAATTAAATTTCTGTTGCTTATAAACAACCCAGTTGATGATATTTTTGTTGCAGCAACCTGAATTGATTTAGACACACATCTCAGTTAGGCTTATGCAAAGATGTATAGGACAGGACCCTCCTCTAAGGAATGAGAGCGCAGTAGGGAAGAGCACACCATACAGTGCTGCAGGTACTGCGGCAGAATATTGATTAGAAAGAGTGACACATTTAATGAAACTCTAGATTTATTATAGACATTCTTAACAACTTCTGTATGTAAGTGGCACTTCATATACAGACTTTAACTAAACTAAACTAATTCCCAGGCGTGGTGTTACTCTAAAAGAGTTTGTAAAGAAAGTCAGTGGATCTGGGTTGTGTATAGTAAATATATAACAGGCATTGATTGCATTGAATATGAGAACACAAGAAGTACATGTAGATCGTTGCTGATTTTACCTAGCTTGGTAGCTAGGGAAATCAATGCAGTGATTGAAACCCTTCTCTTATGGGTAGACTGCATAACTGGCATTCCACATTAGGCTGAGAGTTCTTAGGGCCAGGTCTGATGAAGAATGGCTAGGTATAGCAAGTCTTTCTGAAGTCTTCCTACAGATGGGTAAGGTGATCTACATTCAAATGAGCCCCCCTTATCAGAAATGAGAAGGAATGCTGAGAGTCCTGCTTTTCTCCTGAGAGTTTGGCAGGTAGATTCTCATCATTATAAGAAAATCTGATTTGCTGGATCTCCAGAATCCAAGGTTCCTACCCGTGACAAGAGGGTTAAATCCAACGAGCAGGGTCAACACAGCAGGTATCATGTACACCACCTGTTAGGAAAAAAGAGAGGAAATACAGTGGTGAGAAGTATGCCCATTACACGGCATGTGCACAGGTATCTAGGAAGGGAAGGAACATGAGATCAGTGGTTGTCAGGTTCCATAGTTTACCACTAAGTTTCAGTAACTATTGAGGAAACGGTAAGCTGATAACCACTTCAGGCTGTAATTCTGTCTCCTTCTTCCTAGACTGCTGGTTATTCCAGGAAAGACACCTTCATCTTCAAGCTCGAGCGCTAAGTGTAGACTTTTGGCCTGAAGACACACTGACTTCCTAGTCTCTCCCAATTTCCATGTCCACATGGCCAACCCCACTTGCAAATAATAAAAGGTTTTTTGCAAAGTGGGGCAGAGAGGCAGTCACAGTTACCTAGATGGCCTGGCTGGGTTTGACCTCATGGAACATCTGGTCCAGTGGTCCATCTCTGCAAGTGAGATCATGATGAATGGATCAGGTATGCCACATACTGAGACTGGGCTCTTCACCTGGAAACTGCTAAGTTGACTAGGAAGTTAGAAGACTGGCCCTAAGGTGGTCCAACTCTCAAGCCTCATAGCAAGCAATTTCACACCAAGAATGAGAGAGAACTCAAGAGAGACAGAACCCAAGAGTCCAAGAAAGTGAAAGATAAACCCATACATCATACAATGTTTAATTTTGCTCTCAATAAGAAAAGTTTGGCAGAAGTTTTTTTTTTGGTACCGGGAATTAAACTCAGGACCTTGTGCTTGCTAGGCAGGTGCTGTGCCACTGAGCTATATCCCAGCCCTTGGCAGAGGTTTTCAACATGTGCATTCAGTGCATCATAATCTGTCATTAACAGATTAATAGATTAAGACGTCTAAACAGTGTTTCAGTGCGTTGTAAACATGAACTAAACAGTCCTTTAAGCTAAGGAACAGTTTCGCTCGTTAGAAAAACTCTCTCCACCAGGAAAACTATCTTCCTAGCCCCTTTCACAGCTGGAAGTGGTCGCAGTTCAGCAGTGAAACAGGAGTCACCCTGCAGGAGAAGGCTGATGATGTACAAAGCATTCACCAGCTGGTATGGTGAGTGCTGATCAGTCAGAATGGACTCCGCAAGACACCATGCTGATGGGTACAAACCGAATTGCAGCACTGTCTGAAAAGCTTCTTGGGAAACATTTTTCTCCATAATAAAAGGGATGAAAACACAAGAAGGAAACTTACTGTGTTCCTGCTTTGCTTCTTACTTGGAGATAAGATGTTTGGAGCTGCAGCAGCTATGGTATAAACATGAGGTGCCACAGAAGAAAGAGAAAGTTCAGGCCCTTGCTGATACTGGTGACCACTAGGCATCTACCGTTGGAGATCTTAGTGAGCAATTCTGTATGTTTATAACTGGCGCAGTCATATTTTCCACTGTCTGCTGCTCTGTGGATTCTGACGCTGATATCTCCCATGAGCAAGGTGAAATAGGGAACATGGAAATGAGTTGAGCACAGTGACGGTAACTTCTAAAGGACAGTAATTTATTTGTTCATCTGTGTGTCCATTCATTTTTATTTAAGTGAATGCAGGCCAATTGCAGTGGAGCACACCTATAATGTCAGCTACTTGGGAGGCTGAGGCAGGAGGATGGCAAGTTTAAGGCCAGGTTGGTTAACTTATGGAGACTCTCTCAAAAGAAAATAAAATAGGGCTGGGAATGTAGCTGAGTAATAGAGAGCTTCCCTAGCACGTGTGAAGCCCTGGGTTTAATCCCCACGACTGGAGGTGGAGGGGGGCGCCAACACAGGAAGATTTTTCCATAGTGGAAGCTCATTATGTCACTAAAGACTCCCAAGAGGAGAGAAGAACTTCCTTTTGTCCTCCTGGGCGCTGGCATGTAAGAGCCAACCCTAGTGGTTTAATGTGAAGCCGAGCATGCTGATGCTACAAGTGTTCAAGGAAAGAATGCTCAGAACTTATGAGAAAGACGCAGATTTTGTTTTTGTGAAGAGACAGTCCTTGAAGACAGTCCTTGAAGTTGGGTAGACTATGACATGCAGGAGTTCTGGGGCCAAGATGCAGTGACTGTCATTGTTGGGCTGGTTTCAAAGACCATGCCAGGAAGGTGGTTGGGGCCATAGCTGGGAAGGCCTCAAATCCCAGTGGAGTTTCCATTTAGAGAGTTTAGGGAATGACAAAAGATTTTGCAGCAGACCATGATATGTAGGAGGGGTCCCAGGAGCACAGGAAATTAGAGGCTGATGCAAGAGCGGGAAGGTGTTCCATAGAGAAGGTAGGGGGTGCAGAACTGGGAATGCAGGAGGTTTGTCAGGATGTGGGTTAGCACACATTAGATCATCTAGATCATCTAGACATGAATCAAAAGGTAAGATGGGAGGTACTGTAAAGATAAACAATTGGATCTAGATAGTTTCTTTGGTGCGGGGGTGGAGACAGGGTCTCACTATGCAGTTCAGGCTGGTCTTTCTTGTTGGGTTACTTTTAAAATTTTATTTTGTTGGAGGGGCTCTCAAAGGCTGTGGTAAGGAACAGACAGCTGTTAGAGATGACTGAAGTTTTAAGCAAGGATGACTCAGCGAACATTCTGCTGAAAACAGAGATGGCCAAGTCAGGAGGAGGAATGGGTTTGGGAGGGAAACATACTGGGTATCTGAGGAACAACGTGGTGTTTCGGTGGATATACACTACGCCCCTTTAGAAGTTCAGTGCTGTTCTGGATATCTGACACTTGGCACTAGACTTTCACATCATAATCCCCAATGCCTTCATTTACTGCTCATCTGTACATGGTCAATGGTACTCCCAAGCCTAAAAGTCACCTGCTTGTCGATACTGTCTGTAGAAGATTGTGTAAGATTACCCATTTGTACTGCCGACTGGGCAAAGTTCAGATGTTTCAGGAAATGTATGGGATGGTCTTCCCCACTCCCAAATGGTTCAGTTCAGAGCACTGGCTAAATGAATATCGTAGGTTTTATGGACTTTAACTAATTTCTATAAACATAACTCACTGGGTTAGAAGAACTACAGAATTTAAGCCTGCTTTTCAAACTTACTAGAGTTTCTGACTAGAAACTTGTGTAATCTTTCGACTGACCTTGAGAGGTCAGTTCTCGGCCCTCAAGCCTCTGCAGAAGGAATACAGTCTTCTCTGGTGTCCGTGGACCATTGGTTCCAGGACATCCCCCACCCCCATCGCACCACATTAAACTCTGTGGATACACAAGTATTTGCATACGACGGGATGGCTGTCCTAAAGGTCAGCAATTATGTATGTAAAGGGGCTCGCACATTGTAGGCACTTAGCAAAGGAGAGGTACTCACTATTATTTTTAAAAAAGTTATTGTTAATTATTTTAAGATAGGATTTCGCTAAGTTGCTGAATTGCCCAGGTTAGGCTTGAACTGGAGATCCTGCTGCCTCAGCTTCCTAGAGTGCCGGGATTACAGGTGTGCACCACCAATCCCAGCTTCATGTTATTAAGCTTGTTGTAACGAATGTGATGAGGTTTGCTGGGACATCTGTCTGTCTGCTGTGGGAACACCTGTGTCTCCAGAAAGTTCAGAATTTACTCTCTCTCTCTCTCCACTGATCCCTCTCCCCACCCCGAAGAAAAACTGTAGGGAGAACAGCAAAGGTTTTGATTTGTAAGACAGGAATGGAAGCAAACTGAGGCAAACAGAATGGCGCGATTTGCGCACGGGACAGTTCTCTGAGACGGAGGATGACTGTGGACGAGTTCACACTCACCACCCACAGCTCGGCGTCGGGGTCGTTGACCTGGAAGGCAGAACAGCAGCTGTTAGCAGACGCAGTGCCCCGCTCCCCTCCCACTCAGCCCGTTCATTCACGTTTTATTCCTCCCAGAGAGCAGGCCGCAGCAGGCACCAGGGCACCGGATACGGAGGAGACTGAGCCTAGCACCCCGGGGCGGCGGGAGGGGCCCTGCGCACACCCCGGGCGGGCCTCGCGCGGCCGGCTCTGCTGACAGCACCCGCGGGGCGCTGCGGGGATGCGC